AGGATAGAGCAGGGTTTAGAGCTGTTGTGCCATAGGGTCGCTATGAGTCGGAAACGACTCGATGGCACATAACAACAACAACAACATTACAAAAGAATACTGAAAGCAAGTAACTGTGTAATTACAAAGCAGCAGAAACAATTTATCTTGTGGTTGTACAGGCTGTGTATTATATCCAGTCTCTAATATAGCTTACTGGTTTGCCCTTTTTAAAAATCAAATTGGACATTTTCTTTATATAGAAAGTCAACCTTTTGAGATAATGTCTTGATTAGTGTTTTGAACAGTATGAAGAACTGTTTCAATTCAATAAGAGATATTTGTTTAAATTGGGGGAGAAAAGAACCAAAAAAAAAGAATGTTGAAAAATTCAGTGCAGAAACAGACATTCTTATCCACTACCATATATTCTGAAGAGCTATCAGAATCTAAAATCTAAATTTTTATTTTACTGCTAGGAAATTTACATCTAAGAACTTATCCTAGAAAACTGTGCAAAGAAATAAAAAGAAACAGTATAAAGAACCACAGGTAAGGGTATTCACTGCTACAGAATTTTTGAATAGCAAAAAGTTATAAATAATCCAAATACCCTGAATAGGAGGCTGGCTAAAAAGATTATGATATAACCTTACAAAGTGATACTATATGACCACATAAAACAATGAGGTAGATTTTCTGTTTTGTTTTAAAAAAGTAAATGAGTATCACTTTCTCCTTGTCAGACATAATTACAAAACAAAGATAATAAGAAATACAGAAACATAAACTCTACTATTAAAAGCTGTTGTTGTTGAGTCCAGAACAAAGGCTGCATAGTGGAGTGGACGTGGGGGAGGGATTGCACAATGAAAGAATTTTTCTTTTACTTTTCAAAGAGAAGAATGAACTAGAGGGGAGGAATGGGCAGGGGGGAAAGTGCAACAATGAATGAATGGAAATCCAAAATCTCTGTAAATTTTCATTAAAATTAATAATAATAATAATTTTTTAAATTATTAACAAAGCTGTTGTTGTAAATTGCCCTTACATTGGTTCCAACTCACAGTGACCCTCTGTGTGCAGAGTGGGAATGCTCCATACCATTTTCAATGCTGTGACCCTACAGAAACTGGAACAAGACTTTCTTCCCAGGAGTCTCTGGATGAGTTCAAAAGTTAACCTTTCAACTCACAGTTTAGTGCTTGACTGTGTGTGTCACCCATGGAATGGCAAACTCTAGAAGCCATACTTAAATCCGTAAGAATAATAATTAAAACTAACATAGGAGGTAAAAACCAAACCAAGGTATGGGAAGACACAAATAAATCACCTGATATCACCGGCTCAAAGAAACAGGTATATATATTCTGAGACATAAAAGCTTTGTTTGAAGCTTTAGCAAAAGCGAAGTATGGTTGATGACAAGAATTCCTTGGACTGGACTCAGCTTAATACCAATGAGAAATAGAGAAGTGGAAACAAAAACTTCAAAGCACTTCTATTTTTGGTAAGTAAAATCAGGCAAGGTAGGGAAAAAGAGGAAGAATTCATTGTGAGAGTCTTACAGTTGATTTCTTTTGGTGAAAAAATGCAGAGTAAAATAACCTGCATGGCTGCATGCCATGAGTAATTCCTGCTACCCTGGAATTTCTTTACCCACCCCTTCCCATCTCCTACAAGGACAGATGACAGTAATAGATCAATACAGGAACTGCAAATAAAAGAGAGAACTGGAATTAAGGTCAAAAAAAGCTTTCAAGGAACAGACGAAAACTGTGACCACAGAATTCTTAATTTAATAAAAAGAAAATCTTAATAGTGCAATCCTCCAATAAAAGAACAATTTAAGGAATATACAGTATAATACAAAATAACTCACAATACTATGGATTCATCAGGCACACCTTAGTCTTTAAACTGATATCCTTGTTAGTAATTTGAAGAGCTCCCTGACAGCAGATTATGCCCAATGCTTAACTGGCCATAGTTCTTCCAATTATTTGCTATATATCAGAAAGCTGGACAATAACTAGGGATGACAGAAGCAGAACTGAGGCCTTTGAGCTGTAGTGCTGAAAAAGAGTATTGAATATACCATGGACTGCTAGGAGAACAAAGTTTCATCCCGGAGAGAGTGAAAGCAGGCTATTCCTTGGAGGCAAGGATTCTGAAGCTTTATGACATATTTCAGACATGCTGCAGGGAAGGACCAGTCCTTGGAGAGGGACATCATGCTTGGGAGGATGGAGGGACAGCACAGGAAAGGAAGACCCTAAATGAGATGGATTGATTCAGTCACTGAGGTAATGGGGGTTGGTGTATCAGAGACAGTAAGATTGGCACAGGATAGAGCAGGGTTTAGGGTCGCTAAGGGTCATAGGCAACTCAAAGGCACATAACAACAATAGGTCTTCTGATTTCCTGAATACTGCTATCCTTAGTGATGACTGTTAATTCAAGTTAAGAATAAATCCTTGATAACTTGAATTCTAAAAGCTCTAAAGAGCAAGGATCCAATTCTAAAGTATACCTGATCCAGGTCATGGTATTTGTCATTTTTTTAATATGTAATTTTAATATTTAATTTAAAATAAAATCAAAGCTGGATTTGGATTGAGAGAATGTTTGATTTGCAGGAGAATAGAGGAATTTTTTTTTAAATTAAGAGATTAAAGTCATTAATGAGAATAGCCTTCCTCCTCTCCCCAGCAGCTCCATATTGAGCTCCTTAAGGAATTAAAGAGGT